CTTTAAGAGTACGAGTCAGGGTAAAGACGAAGGGCTACACAAAGGGAGACGCGCATCTTCAGTGACGTCCCAAAGGTATCGGCGCTTGACAATAATAGGCAATCCTCTGCTTATAATCCTTGGTTTGTGTCAACCGTTGGTCGGCTGTCATTGTCATTGGCGGTCATTGGCTATCTTTCTCTGTCTCTCTACGTTATATATTTCTTCTCTCTCGTCGATCGTGTAACGAAATTTGCCAAAACGTGACGTTACGTGACGCGTCTTTCAAACCACTCTCCATTCCCATCCAAATATCAGACAGCGCCTAAGGACCGGTTTCTCAATAGCAAGTTACCCCTGGGTTAAGCATAACTCCAGGGTAAACATTGCAACTGGACACATTTACTCTGGTGATAAAACCAACCCGGAGGTGACTCGCTATTGATAAACCTACCCTAAAAAAATAATGTATCTAGGTATATCTACGTAGGTGAAGTCATCATTTTTTACATTCCTATGATTGTAGACTTATTTGACTTATAATTTATTTTATTCTTTTATGAAAACTTTTTGATTTTATCGTTTCTCGTGTGTCGCAAATCTTTGAAATTCATTAATACGGCCGAACCACCCCATAGTATACCAAGATTGCCAGTTATGCCAACTAAAGATCCTGTAATCCCTGTATTGCGCTTTGGTGAACTTTGGTTGTGCTGCCCTCTAATGAAGTGAGTTCAGCTTTAACGTCACTAAGACAAGAATGTATGATCGGTTTTAGTGATGCCGCGAGACTCGAGACTGGTCTCGTCTCGTCTCGACTTTTCGAGACGAGACTGGCTTTTGGTCTTGTCTCGTGAAGTCTCGACGAGACGAGACCAGACTCGGCGAGAGTCACGTGCAGTCTCGAGTTTACACTTAAAATGTTTCTTTCATAGCTTTATTATTGTACTATTCTGAGTTATTTGAATATGAAATCAGTAAATTAAATATCACGGTTACTCTTTACTGTGATTTTTCACTAATTGCTTTTTCCCTGTGGCAGTTTGGACTTCCGTTATAATATAAAAATAAAAACCATAAATACACGGTGTCCGAAAAATAGCGTAAAAGCGCTCCACATAGTAGGGGACCCTTTGAGAAACATCTCAAGTATCTATTTTGCTGTATTTTAGACTGTGAGATAGGGGCTGTTTAGTGGAGTCATTTTTTTTTGTCTGGCATTTTGAGGGCTGAATGTGGCTACTAAGCTGATGAGAATATGGGTGATTTTAATGCCGGCCTCCCGTTCGAAAATTTGCAGAAGAAAAAAATTGATTTACATGAAGAATTTTTTTTTTATGATCTCAAATTTTCTAGCTTTTAAATAAAAGATTGACATTGATAAATAATTCACCCATGAAAAATATCAGATGCTTTTCAATAGCTGAAAAAATGGGGATAAGTGTCAACTTCCAAGAGAAAAGAAAAGAACCTTCCGCATTTACTTTTTGTCTGGCAATAGAGAGCATGAAAGGTTTTGTTGTGAAAATAACGCTGAAAAATCGCCAGACGGTAATCATAGTTCGAAATCGAGTTTTCCGGCGAAACATTCTGTGGACATTTCGAACAGGAGGCAGGCATTAAAACCACTTATATTCTCATCAGCTAACTAGTCACATTCATCCCTCAAAATGCCAGACAAAAAAAAATTACTCCACTAAACAGGCCCTATCTCAGGGTCTATTTGGATAGGTAAATTTTATTATCTTCGTAATATATTTTTGTGTTTCCGCACATTTCATTCTTCACATTTTTATTTGTTAAATAAAAAGCACAATGTAAATTATAAAACTATTATTATAACTGTATACTTTTCAATTTATATTAAATATGATAGGTGTATTAGTTTTGCCTCCACAAAAGCCCATAGGATTTATTATTCACCTTCCATGCAATTTGATCACACCCTTCCGTTATCTCGGAAATATTTGCCGTAACGTCGTCTATCACGGTCCTACTTTGAACTCGGCGACAAAGAATGAATTTCGCGCGCTTGAATTTGTTGCTGGCCTCTTAAGTTCGATTTTTTTTAAATGATTTAAGGCAATATACGGGGTGATCGTGATCAATAAAATCATCAAATAACTTCCAAAAACATTCTAATCTATAGAAATTGAAATATTTCATAACAAAAATTAATATTTTGGTGACATAATGCTAATTTCATTTAAGAAAAAAGAAAAACGCGACAATTTTTTTTTTGCGCGACAAATTTACGACAAAAAAACGACAAATTATTCACCTAATAAAACTTCTGTAGGAACATCGGGTGACGTTGGTAGTGCTTACGCGCGCCCCCCCTGAGACCTCAAAAACTACTAATTTTTTTTTTTTAAATTATAGATAGAAAAATTTTATATGTTATATAACATAAAATGTTATTGGAAAATTTTCCAAGCTACACTATTGTTCAATTTGTGTTGTTTTTATCAGATAAATGTGTTATATTTTTAATTGGAATAGGTATTTTCATTTGTTATTTTTGGTGTTTTGATATGTACAGGGTTGTCCAATTTTTGAGCGAGATACATAAAAATCAACCCCCCACTCTGAGGCTCAAATTTTATATCTTCAACCGTTTTGTGGCTAGAGAATCCAGTGACTTTCTCAGTTTTTTTCTATTTTTTCCCGAATTCAAGATAATAACCAGAGTCCGATTGTTTTGATGGGACACCGGACACCCGCCTATACAGGGTGTTCCTAAATATCATGTACAAACGAAAAGAAGTGATTCTTTGGTTTATTTTATTTTAAAATTTCTAATAAACATAGGTCCGCAAACGCTTCGTTACCGATCTACAGGGTGTTGAAATTTTAATATTTTTTTTAGTTTTTTCTTTATAACTCCTGCAATTTTTGAGGGATTTAGTTCATATTTGGAATCTAGGTTACGCAATAAGAGCTGAATGATTGTACATGTCAAACGTTTGCTCTGTAATTAGCTAGATGAAACTAAAGTTACTGAATAAACCCACAGTGGCGACAACAGAGGTCCCGCAGCCATATTCTTGCTCATTTTCAATAGCAATCTACAGGTAAGACACTTCTCGCCGCCATATTCCTGCTAATCCTGCTCATTTTCAATATGAATACATTAAAATTTCAACACCCCGTAGACAGGTAACGAAGCGTTTGCGAACCTATGTTTATCAGAAATTTTAGTCATAAAATAAACCAAAGAATCACGCCCTTCAGTTTGTACATGATATTTAGGAACACCCTGTATATCAATAACTGATTGGATAGCTCTGCTTTTGCTGCTTTTCAATGATACAAAGTTCGATCGGTTTTCCAGCAAAAAAATTGTATCTCTTTTTGTTATAGAACAATGTGTTAGAAAAGGACTTTATATAAGGAAAATGAGATAGGTCTCCTTCTAACAAATTGTTTCTTTTGATTGAAACATCTATAATTTTTGTCTCTAGAAAACTGTTAGAGATAGACCTATTAAACCTTATATGTATCATTATAATAAGCAATAATAGAGCTATCAATTAGTTATTAATGTATAAATAGGGTATTTTATTTAAAACAAAAATAAGACGAATTAAAATAATTGAGGACGACATTGAATTCTGCATGGAAAAGTACCTCTATAAAGTTTATACAGAAATCAATTATTTTCATATATAATAAAAATAAAAATAATAAAAATATTGTTCAAATTCGAGAAACATCCTCTAGCGGCAAAACGGTTGAGGGTATCAAAAGGCGGTTTGCAGTGTTTGCACCAATCAAAATTCCATGAAATTTGAGCGTTAGCAGAGTGGGGGGTTCATTTTTTTGTATCTGGCTCAGAAATTGACGTTTCATATCAAAAGTGTCCAAATTGGACCACCCTGTACCTACATTCTTTAACGTATAAGTAAAGTGAAAATAAATTTTCAAGAAATCATTGTTGATAATTCTAAGCTTGCGCCCCCCCCTGAAGAAAATCCTGGATCCGCCACTGGTTAGCAATACCAGGGTATTTAAGAAAAAAGAAAAACGCGACAAATTTTTTTTTTGCGCGACAAATTTACGACAAAAAAACGACAAATTATTCACCTAATGAAACTTCTGTAGGAACATCGGGTGACGTTGGTAGTGCTTACCAGGGTTGGAAAAAACCTACGAATTAGGAAAAATAATTTCAGGTTTTTAGGTTTTTTGAGGTTTTTTAGGTTTTTTAAGGTTTTTTAGGTTTTTTTAGTACGTAATTGTTGTAACACATATTGGTGATGTAAGTATGTACCATACCTATGAATTATTATGTAAATAATTAAATTTTTAACCAAATAATAGCTAAACCGAGAAATAAAATATAGGTATAGCATACTGGAAAAAAATTACTACTGAAATTACACTTTCTAAAACAAAATAACTTAAAAAACCTGAAATGCACTTATTTTAAGAAGTAGGTTTTTTTAAAAAACCTAAAAAACCTAGGTTCAAAAAAACCTGTACCTGCCAACCCTGGTGCTTACTTGATATCAAGTTAGCAATACCAGGGTATTTAAGAAAAAAGAAAAACGCGACAAATTTTTTTTTTGCGCGACAAATTTGCGACAAAATAACGACAAATTATTCACCTAATAAAACTTCTGTAGGAACATCGGGTGACGTTGGTAGCGCTAACTTGATATCAAGTTAGCACTACCAGGGTATTTAAGAAAAAAGAAAAACGCGACAAATTTATTTTTTGCACGACAAAAAAGCGACAAATTAATCACTTAACGCCATATCCCGGCGTGCATGTGGTATTGCTAACTTGATATAGGTTTCAATTAGGTATACCTACAACTAAATGGTAGATACCTACTTCAAAAACCAGCTTCAGCTAATTCTGAGTTAAGTGCTACAAAAGCAAAAATCAGCTGCTAATCGAGATAAATAACTTACAGCTGATTATCATAATAAAAACCTAATTTTAAATTCAAATTTGCCCTTCAATAATTAAAAAACTAAAAATATTTTTTAATTAAAATTAAAATTGTACAAACCGTTTTCTCATTGCAATACGTAATTGCAAATCAGCAAAAATAACTAAATTACACCCATGAAGTCAGTCCTCAAATCATCAAAGACAAAAAAAAAAAACTATTTTTTTTGTAACAAAGAAACCAACCGGTTGTAACTTTCGATCGCGATTCTACACGGACCGGGTCCCTTCCTTCGCAAACTAAAACCGGAACGCGCCTATCGGGTATTGCAGTCAGTTACCAACTGAACTCGAATTCGCCGGTGCACTGCAAGCCGAACGAAAACGTTTCTGCGCTTGATATCTACAACGTTGCCTCGGTTAACCGACCTTCTCTTATTCTACCGGCAAAAATAAGCCTCATCATCATCATCAACGGACTGTCATTAGTTTTGAAAAATTGTTGTAGCCCAACAATAATTGGGTTGTATGGTAACAGCAAAGTATGGTCACGGGTTGATGAACAATGAGCGAAAATAATAATGTGAAGACTTTCACTGGTTGTTAGTACATATGTATTTAGCCGGAACAATGAACTATTGTTGTAGATTTGATATTATGTTGAAATGACCATCTAGGCAACAACTTTTTCAAAGTCAAAGTTAAAACAAAGAATTATTGGAAAAATTAGTACAAGGTACAAAGACAAAGAAGAACGACATTGTTGTCCAAAATGTTGAATGTAACAAATTGAAGATACCTATAGAAGAAATCAATGTCATTGTTGGACAAATCTTTTATACTAGGATGTCTTTGGTGTAAATTGTAGATTGCATTTGAAGTCGTTATAGGTTATTTCAGCCGCTCAAGCAATGCAATTAATTGGAGTCCAAGATTTAGGAGGCCAGCTTCCTGGGTTGGTAAAGTTCCTACCTCTTGGGGTTTTAGCCATATTCCTTCAAAATATTTCAGCCTTTTGCAGAAGTGAGCAGGGCATTCACAGATTAAATGTTCTCAAGTTTGTTCGCAATATCTATAGTGGTCGTTGTCTGATTTGCCTTATGTTTCTAAGTTATATTTCATGAGGCAAGACAGTATCCAGGAAGCAGACCAATGACTGTTCTAATATAAATATGCTCTTTTAAAAGACCTTTTTAAGGCGAGACAAAGAACAAAAAAGAATTTTTTTTCTTCAATTTGCAATATAAGAATGGGAGAAAAATATATAAATTTGCATGAGATTCTTTATCAATTATTAAATATTTAGATATAAATGAAACAAAAAAAATTATTCCTATTCCAGAAAATATTTTACTCTTTATTCCATTATTTGCTGGTCTATCTGCTCTAGGAGCCCTAGGTGGAGGTACTGTTGGTATAGCAAAAGCAGTTAATGACGCTACACAACTATCAAACACAATCAATTAAGGCACTTTTGGGCACAGATGTACCATTTTTGATCTTATCCTCGATATTTCTTTGTTTGTTTTCTATTCTTGTGTTAGCCAATCACTTTGATTATTTTTCTACCTTTCCTCTTCTTCTTCTTCTTCTTGAGCACATCTTCTATTGCAAACGTGATAAGTTTTGATGAGGTCCTCTCCATTGAAATGGGATTGGTGATCGCTTCCAGTAATACTAACAATATGAAATTTGTGTAGATGATTGAAACATAAGTCAATTTGAATTGCTAGTCCACGAAAACATGGTATTGGTTGACTTTTTCTTTGAGCATTTTCAAGATGAGGAATAGGTACAAGGTACCTAGGTACTAGTAGAATCATGGAAGAACCCAACTTCTTTAACGGATGAACGGCTAGTGATGATAATCATAAAAAAATCATATATTTGGGATTTTCTTCCTCTTTTTCTTTGATCTTATCACGTATTGTGAGTTCGCAGTGATAAGTCAAAATATTTTTCAAAATAAAATTGCTTTTTTTTTTAAGAGACAGAAACACAAGAAATGACGATGAAACTGGCACTGTTACAACCCTCCGTTAACTTACAATCAAACTTAGGACCGGTTTATCAGTGGAAGGATATTTAGTTTAGCTAATTATTTGCTAAACTAAATTACCCGCCCAGTGATAAACGAGTCCTAATACGGCTAGATCAATCGCTTGTTAAGCCATTGTCATTATTATTGGCTTTTGCATCATGAAATTTTGGTAGATTTCTGCTAAAAGCTTCAGGAATATATAGAAAAATACTTGACGCCAATAAGAATACCAACGTTTCATAAAGAACGTCGAAATTGCAGGTATAGGAATCATATAGCAGTCATCGATTTATGTGCATCACAATAGGAAAATTCACAATTGTGCTATCTTCAGCTTTTTCTCTGTAAAACTCTGGTATGTTACAGCTGAAACCTTTACAAACAAATGACAAAATATACGGTATCGATAGAAATGCCAACATTTCAAAAAAAAAAAACAGTTCGCACGTAGAGTCATATGGTAAAGTATCTCTCAGTGTATTTTACATTCAAAATATCAGAATGTCATTATTCTTGGCTTTTGTATCATGAAATTTTGGTAGATTACTGCTAAAAGCTTCAAAAATATATAGAAAAATACTTGACGCCAATAGGAATACCAACTTTCCATAAGGAACATCGAAATTGCAGGTAGCGGAATCATATGACAGTCATTGATTTATGTGCATCACATTAGGAAAATTCACAATTCTGCTACCCTCAGCTTTTTCTCTATATAACTGTGGTATGTTACAGCTGAAGCTTCATGAACAAAAAAAAAAAAATGCGGTACTAATGGGAACATCAACATTCCAAAAAAATATATACAAAATCGCACGCCAAGTCATATGTCGTTATTCTTGGCTTTTCGCATTATGAAATTTTGGTAGATTACTGCTAAAAACTTCAGGAATATATAGAAAAATACTTGACGCCAATAGGAATATCAACTTTCCATGAGGAACGTCGAAATTGCAGGTAGGAATCATATGGTAGTCAACGATTTATGTGCATCACATTAGGGAAATTCACAATTCTGCTACCCTCAGCTTTTTCTCTATATAACTGTGGTATGTGACAGCTGAGAACTTCATGAACAAATAAAAAAATATACGGTACCTACTAAGGGGAATATCAACATTCCAAAAAAAAAAATATGAACAAAATCGCACGCAAAGTCATATGGTAAAGTATTTTACATCCAAAAAATCAGAATGTCGTTATTCTTGGTTTCCGCATTATGAAATTTTGGTAGATAACTGCTAAAAGCTTGAGGAATATATAGAAAAATACTTGACGCCAATAGGAATACCAACTTTCCATGAAGAACGTCGAAATTGCAAATAGGAATCATATTATGGCAGTCATCAATTTATGTGCATCACATTAGGAAAATTCACAATTCTGCTATCCTCAGCTTTTTCTCTGTAAAACTCTGGTATCTTACAGCTGAAAGCTTCACGAACAAATAAAAAAATATACGGTGCCAATAGTTAATTGTGTCTTGACATACACAGGGTGTTTCCTAAACACGGTCCGTTACTTCAGGATGTGATTCGTTACGATATTTTAGGGAAACAAGTTCCTATAAACAATACGTGTTTGGAAGTGAGATACAGGGTGTCCCAGTAACGTGCAAGAAAATGGATTTTATATTTATTTTATTTTTTGGCGTATTTTCTTTTTTTGTATAAATGTCAACACCCTCTGTATCTCAGAAATTACGCATTTTTGGACATATGTTTATGGGAACTTTTTTCTCAAAATATCGTAACGAATCACATCCTGAAGTTAAAACAGTATTTAGGAAACACCCTGTATATACTGACATTTAATTAATTATCACTGATTCTCCCATGTAATACTTTTGTCAATAATTATTATCGAAATGGGACTATGGGACACGAGGTACTGATGGAAGCAAATTAAAACAATGTGTTCACGATTAGAACTGTGTGGTACTTGGGTACAAGCGTTTTCTTCACTTGTAAGTATTCTATAAAGAGTCTAAGTGCATTTTGAGGTACTTGGTACTCAGGCCACGATACTTTTTGAATAATGTATTTGTACTTGTAGTCGAACTGCTTAAGAATATAATAAATACCCGGTAGTTTTTCTTGTACTGGGTAAATTTCAAAATCCCCGAGTACATATTATGCTTTTATACTTCAATACATTTGTTATAGCCGGGTATTTTCATTGTATCCGAATACATTTGCGGTTACTGAGTAAATTTATAGGACTCCTAAGTACGACATATTTATTCGGCTATAAGTACAGTCATGGGCACAAAAAGGTGGACACCTGACTGACAGGTCTTGTCATTTTTCGCTATTTTGCGTAAATCAGTCTTTTCTTTGCAATCGATTTTTTGTCAAATATGACAATCCCTGTCATTGCCGTACAATGAACTATAACCAAAAACTCGAATGCGAACACATATTGACGAACGTGAAGCCTAGTGCCGCTGCTGCGGAGGGGATACCTGTTTTTGTCGCACTCATTTATGGTTAAGTGGAAATTGCTTCCAACACATTGATGAAACCTGTGAAGGTAAATATGACAAAACTTTCCAAAACGTCATATGTCAGCAAGCAACAGAAAAAAACAACATTCCCCTTTGTGGCATCTGTCTTTCATGGCTACATTTTTTTGGCAGATATGGCAATGTGTGCGCATTCCAGTTTTTGACTATAGTTCATTGTTGCCGTAGGTATAGATGGTGACCCCATTTTACAATAGGAAAAAGCGGGTGTCCCACTTTTTGTGCTCACGACTGTACATTTCTAGGCAAATTAACACATGATCAAGGCTGTTTAAAAGAGGAGGTTGCGTAATAACTTTCATGACGTCATTGGTATGCAAGGTAGATATACAAAATGTATTCATAAAAGTACTCGGTACTTTGACTAATTGGGTATTGATTACTTGTTATTGTTCTCTGTAGTCGAGTACATTTTGAGTAAAGTACTTGTACCCGATACCCGAATACATTTTGCCTATACTCTGTTCACGATGGTATTGGAAATCTTTGTTCTAGAATTGTCTGGAGAATTTCACACATCTCTCAAAACTGACATTCCAACAATAAACTGACATGTTTTGATTGTTGATTTGAACCAATCAGATTGGAATTACGCGATAATTTGCACTAGTGCAAATTATCGGATAATTGCATAGTAACTGATGCAAGAACTGGTGTTTTGACATTTTTTGACAAAAAATTTAAATTTTTGATTCATGAAATTCTCCCATAAAATACAACTCGAGCAATGGAAATATATCTATAATTTTCGACAAAGGACCCCGCAATATTTAAACGGAAATTGGTTA